TAATCGCGCGAGTGAACGAGTAAAAATGTCTGCGTCTCTACAGCGCCTCTACAGGTTTGGAGACTCTACACGTTTTTTTACTCGTTCACCCGCGCGATTATTTTGAATAGACAATACGGGAATCGTTGGCCACGCCTACAAGCGTCCACAGCTCTGATTTCTAAAAGCATTATACTCACTGTTTCTTGTTTTTTGTAGACAATACTAGGTCCTTTTGTATCGAAATAGTTAGTAACAAAGAGACGCATTGCTTCCAGCGAACATAGTTTCGAATCATAATCGTAGAAGATCAGCATCACCAATTGACGATTTTGGGTCGGAATCATGAGTGTGTTGAAGTCTGAACACAACAAATTTCGCTGGAAAAACTACAGTAATCCTTACCGAAATTTCCTCTCCTGACCCGAATTCGTTCTGCTGGTGACCCATGAATCTTCAGATATTCTTTGTCGTTCCACGTATAAACTTTCTCTCCATCAAAAAACTCATCTGGAACTTCAACCACCGCATGACTCATCCACACCAGAATCGGTGATTTTTTATCTTCTTCAGAGACGGCTTTTTTGGATCGAACCGATGGATTGTTGGGTGGAATCATTGGAAGTAATGAAGCCTTTTTTGGAAGAACGCCTTCTTCAGATTTCTTCTTTTTTGCTCTAACTTTTGTACTAATATCGTCAACTGTTCTTTGTTGTTTCATACGATCTATACTCGATTGCTCCCAAGCCCAAGTGTTCAATATTCTGTGAGAAAATGGAATGTTTGTCTGAAACCCCAAAAGTTGTCTGAAAGAATAAAGAATAGTTGGGTCGTACCTTCAAAATACGTGCCACCCAACTCAGCACTTCATCTGGACCTTCGAAAATTTTTTCTTCTACTCGAAAGAAACGATGATACTAAAAAATTGTTTTCCCAGTTTCTGAAAAAATAGAAGAAAACTAAAAACCTGAAATGTGTTTTCCGTATGAGGATGCACAAATTTCGGATGAGCATAAACTCGTCTGGCTCGATGATAATGTCCAGGTGTCAGAAGAGTTCGTAGTTCTCCACTCCATTTATGAGCAAATTTCATTGTATGATCCACCAAAAAGTCGACCTAGAATTGTATTCTCTTGTATTTTTTGTAACTGATAAACTACATCGTGCTTTTCATTTCCACCCTGTAATTCAAGGACTAAACCATCTGTATTATGCTTGCAAACTCCCAAAATGAATCCGAGACAAGAGATCACTTGTGGAGCAGATATAAAGAATGAGACTTCAGATGAATGAATCATTCTTCTAAAATCAAACGAAAATTTTTTTATCGAATTTTCACTCACTCATAAACTCTGAAAACTAGCTCCGCCCATTTTTTGCAGACCTCTGGCGCGGCGGTCTTCTCTGATTTACTTGTATGACTTCCAGATTCATTTGAATTTGATTCCATTTTAATTGAAACAATACAAAATAACCAAAAATCAGCAGCTGTCAAAATCTAGGAAAAAAGGCAACAACGTGGATGGCAAAAACTCCTGCTTTCCAAATCATAGCCATGTGTTTTAGACAACATAATTAATTTCCTAATCTTCAATGTAATGCCAACGTTTCGGTTTTCCTTAAAGTTTCTTTTCTGGTATTTTGGTATTTTCTGCACAAGTGAAACAATAAAATATACGGATAGTGTGTGAGTCAGATTTGGGTTAAAAACTAAAAATTATTTTAAAAAATTCAGAATAGAATATAAATGTCCATTAAGTAGAAAGCCGATCAGTTTTCAAGATTATCATGATTCTGTAAAAAGTTCCCCTGATAACAGTACTGAGGTAGGAGTTTTAAAAAAATATTCCAAAAAATGAAAGAATTGCAGTACTGGACAGATTGTCTTCTCCCTGATTACTCTTGTGCCAAAATAAAAGTACCAAAACTAGGTCATTTATTTGCTTGCATTCCTGATTTTGGGGAAATCAGACCAGCCTTTTTCGACTTTTTCAAACCGACAGGGATTCATAAAGTGATACTAGAAGACTATTTTTCATTGGCCAAGTATCTTTTGCTCTAATTTTAGAATTCAATGTTTTCTGTTTATAGAGGTTGCAGCAAGATTGAAAACGATTTCACCGAAACCACCATAACTACAGTAACCTATAGGAAGCTGACTTTCGTCACTGAGTTATCATGCTGTAAAGGGCCCGAGTGTTTTGGACGCAACTGGGAGAAAATTTGGGGTGAGATCTCTATTATGTATTCATTCGAAATAATTTTGTCTTTCAGATGACAATGACTACGCGAGTGGCGAATTTGTATGACTTTCCATCAGAGTTTAACTGTTGTAGAATAATTAATTTCAGCATCCAAGGGACAATATATTTTGGTACACAAGCATTTCTGTTACGGCAACACTTTTGAGTCTGTTTATTGGAAAATCAAGTTTTCTTGGTTATCAAAGATTGAAAGAGCAACTTGTTCTAGAGTCTTTGAAAACTATCAGCCGGTGATAGCTACTTGAAACGCTTCTAAATTGAAAGTTTTCTTTTCAGAACTTTGAAAGAAGCCGACGATGAAGACAAAATAACAAGACGAGCAGCCATTGCCAATATGTTCAGAATACGTCGGCGTAAAAAGAAGGCAGATGTTCATTGCACTGATGCTTCTTCTCAGAAAACTGATTCTGTGCAAGCTTTGATAAGGTCGAATAAAAAATAAGAATAATAAAGTTCATGTAATGAAAATAAAGGAGATAAGAATCATGACTTAGATTTGAAAGGGGGGTTTTCTCCATATATTTAATTAAAGCATAGAAAGTGATAACAAGCCCTAATGATTGGAAGTTACGCTGGGTTCATCTGTCTTAGTCTGATCAGTATCTTCGAATGGATTTCTAACATCAGTTGTGGCTTCTGAATGAATAATACGATTTCGTAGAGAAATCAAAACATCTGTAGAAACTTCCGGAATGTCCGGAGTAGTTGGTGGAGGAGCTTCTAAATTGACATCTTCATCATACTCTCCGCTTCGATCGAATGGGTCAGAATCATGTCCTCCAGTACCATCGGCTCTTGTTTCGTTGAAAGTAATTTCCGCCATCGATTCTTCATATAAGTTAGAACTTGCCAGCTCGTCATCTTCATTCTCCTGACCAACGCCCTCTTTCTCTTCTACATTTTTCAGGCTAGTTTCCATCTGCACACAGAATTTAGATTATGGTATTTATTTGAGACAAATTCAGCGATATTAGGTGATTATCACCATGCGAAAAGCTTTCATCAATCTCTAAAAAATTCAATAACAAAGTTCATTGAGAAACACAAAAAATTAACAAGACAACAACAGGAAACAAAATGGTTAGAATAGAAACAAAGAACATATTCAGACGAAATCTTGTTTGAATATGAATTCTTGTGCGTATCCATTGTCAGTGATTTGACAGCTGGCTGAGCACGTGTATATGTAAACCGAAGCCCAATCAATACTCTGGCCTAAAAATCAAAGTTGTATTTCGTGGTAAATGTGTTAACTAACCAATAGCGTCAACGTCAATGAGAGATAGGAGATGAGGCATCAATTGCATTTCAAAACGACGTGGTGCTCCGCAATTTTCACAAGGCTCAACGACTTCTGGGAGTTCCGAGCGACCAGTTGCACGCAGAGGAAGACCGTGTCTTTTGTATCTGACAATTTGTTCTGGGTTCAAGTTAACGAGTCGATTGAATTTGTCAAAGTCGAGATCTTTTGGCTGTTCCGATGTTGCTGCATCTAAGTCTTCCTTAGTCATATCAACGTTTTTCTGTAACCGATGATCGCTAACTAATTAGCTTCAAATTCCACTTACGTCTCTGTTTTCTTTCACAAATTTCTCGAACTCTTTCATCCTTGCCTTCTTTTCTTCTTCTGTTTCATCTTCTTGATTACCCTCTTCATCGTCATCGTCATCTTCATCGTCACTGATTCCATCGAAAAGATTTGCTGGCATATATTCTTGATCGATTCCCACCTCAAACTCTTTGAAGACAAATGCGTTTCGAGGATTCTGAAGCTTCTCGGCAATAAAACCATCAGTAGCAGCTTGAGCACATTCGAGCTTGTGAGTTGGCCAATCGACAACTTGATGAGCTTGGGAACAGTATCTTGCGACTTGGCATTTTCCACACTTTTTGGCAGCTGCACACCCACAAATTTGACACATTCCAGGTCCATCTGTGATTGCTCGTGGATCTGGAGCATCGCCGAAATCAGGGTTCATTGGACCATCGAAAGAGTAAAAGTCATTTGTGCGTGGCAATTGACATCTGAACGCTTTCAGATTGGATGCATCATTCAGACGGGAGCATGCTGGATTCCGACACACAAAGAGGAAGAGAGTTCGATGAAATGCGTGAGGTGGATCGTTTTCACCGCCGTTTGCACACACTTGCATCAGGAAGCACATTGGCTTTTCGCAAACCTGAAATTTGTCGACAATTCTGAATAGGTTGAATCCGGCTCACCTTGCATAACAGATCGGTCGACTTTGGCAAGTGTTTTGGATTCAACCACGACGGTTTTCCACCGATCTTTCCAAGTGGAAGGAACTTCGAATGGAGTCGGTAAAGATCATCAACCTTGACTTCGGCTCCGAATCCCAAATAAACTGGCTCATCTGGAATCGTTTCATTGAGAATAGAATCGCACGGACGGGATTAGATGTGGAATAACTTAGATTTATTACGTCAATATTTTTGATTTCGGAATAAAAATAGAAAGTGGACTGGTGGACAAAATAAGGCATGAAATTGAGAAGTGAGATGAAAATTTTCAGAGAACCATGTGCATCGGCTTGCATGTCTAGTCCTGTTTGTTTTCGCGCTTCTTGCGATCCTCTTGCTTGGTGGCAGCCAATAACCAAATACCCAGAACTACGTGGACGAGAATGACGGCAATGATCGCGGAATAGGTCAAAGCGTCGTTCGCCGCAAACCCGAGGAGAGCTGAAATACAACACATCAGAGGAAGAAAGTTGAACAAGATGATGTTAGAATAATTCAGAAATAAAATTTTGGCAATGAATGATACATAATTAGAAAGATATGTACCTTCAAAGAAGTACTGTTTGAGAAGGAACATGGAAGCGAGTGGGACAATCAGAATAACAAGACTATAAGTGAGAAGATTCTTGACTGCCGATTGTACTTCCTGATCGCGGAAGTTCGGGAACAGAGTCGCCATAGTCGATGGTGGTGGGGGAACGTTGGAAGGAGTGGCCATTTCACTGCAAACAACTCGGTATATCCACGGGTTTTATATGGTGAGAATAAAGAAACTAGAAAAATCTTACCCATTGGCTACAACTCTAATAGTAAGGAATAGAATATCAACAAATTGTGGTTCCCCGGATATCCCGAGTTGTTGCAGCCGAACAAAAAGTCAAAAACAAAAAACGATGAGTAACACGAGAGAAGGTAAAAGTAAAGCGATAAAGACGCGTTTTTCATAAGAAAATATATCAGAAAAAGCAACTAGGTCGGTTTTATGTACAAGCTATCCGGCAAGGATTCTAACCAATCGAATGAATCGTTCTGATCACAATAAGGCTTATGAGGTTCAAAAAAAGTGAATTATTAAAATAAACAAGAAAGCGGTATTTAGTGGAATAGTTATTCTTTCTTTTTCTCGGCTTTCAATTTGTCTTCCGCGTCTTTTTCTTCTTTCCAGGCGACATAACAGAAGGCAGCTGCAATTAGGATGACAACAACAGCAGCACAGATTCCAGAATACAGCATTGCTTCCGCTGGTGGCAGATGGAAGTGATCTGAACGTTTGAAATTTGAACAAACCTCCAAAAACGGTTCTTCAAACTCACCAATAAAAACGTTATAGTAAAGAGTAGCCATAACAAGGAGGGGAACGGTGAACATCATAGCAGAAAAAGCAATGAGAAGTGTAATCGCTCTATTTGACGATTCTGCAGTATAGAATTGTTCCTGATCTGGACGAATTGGTGCGTTCAATGCTTCCTCCACTAGCTGCTCTCCGTCTTTCTCCGGTTTTCGTTCAGCGTCATCTTTGATCGATTGATCAACAAATGGAAGTTTAGGTTCCTCTTCTTCTTCAGTTTCCTTATCGACGTCTTGCAAGGTTTGATCTACTTCATCCTCACTGACCGATTGGCTATCTGAAATTCTGAGTTCCCTGTTAATTTATTTGACTTGCTAGTTTTGCGATTCTTACCTGTTTTCTTATCATCGACAGCTTCGAAACTATCGGAGGTGCTTGATTTTCGCTCAGCCCCGTCCACAAGTTCGAAATCCTGATCAGCGGTATCTGTCATTCTGGAATACAAAAGCTTTATTGAAAAATTATTGAGGTCAGACTATTTCAAAACATTGTTTTAAGTCGACGTGTGCTACACTATGGAAGTGGACAAGTACACCAAATAACGAAATTCAGGCGAAAAGAGCGAAAGTCGTTGAAAAATGTGATCGATCTCTGAAATTCTGCAATAGCGCGTGATGGTGTCTCTCTGCATGCGCTATAACATACGCGCAATGGAAAAGGGGCGGAGTTTGGCGCCAGACGCCAGAAAGACGTTCCGTTTGAAATATATATTTAAATAATTTGAAATATTTAAGAGATTAAGTTTCAGCTGTCTGAGCGAAGAATATCTGAACGCATGAATAGAACAAAAGCAATTTTTATTAATTCATTTCAAGCAGAAACCTACTCTTGAAGGTTTCACAATTGTTTGTGTTTGCGTACGAAAACTTTCCATTATTTATCAAAACGGCATATTTACATCATTTACACCTGTGAAACCCCGTCTTTTCAACTGTTTCGCAACATTTGAAATAACTTAAAATTAAAGCTTGCAACTTTCAGGAGATGCCTCCAAAGAAGTCTTCTACAGGAATTACCGTAATGCTGATTGACGCGGGCGTCAACATGAACATGAGGAGCTCGAACAACGAGAAAACAGACTTTGAAAATGCTGTTCACACAGCAAATTCTATTATTTCTCGAAAAGTAAATTACTTGAAGATTCGAATGTCTAATTTCAAAATTTCAGATCTTTTCTGAGGATGCAGAAAACTTCTGTGTCATGGCTTATAATTTGGATTCAAAATTCATTACAAAACTGGGAAAAGAAACATTCAAAGGGGTGGTTGTGCACAACGAGGAATTCGTTCCGGCTCAATTCGATCATCTGAGATTCCTTCTTACCGAATTGAAACAAAATACTAGTGATGGATCATTTTCGGACCCGAATTGTAATGGGATTATTTATTTTGCCAAAATTAAAGTTAGTCTTCCAGTTTTCAAAGGAGTCCTCGCAGCTGTAGCTATTCTGAAAGAGCGTCTCGAATTGGTATCGAACCCCTCTGGTATCACCTTAATTGTGCTGACCAACGGTATGAATGAGAATATCAGGCAGGAAAACTACGATCTGCTGGTTAATGCTATCACGGAGTGTAATGCAGACCTGATGATAATGTGATACATATTCATTTTATGGTTCAAAAACCACCAAAGTTTTTCAGCGGTATTCCGGAGAACCCAGAGTATCCAGCATCACGAATTTCGGAACTAGTAGACCAATTGGGAGGACGCACATACTCGTTTGAGTGAGTTGTGTGGCATAGCTTTAATGTTCATAGCTGATTTCTAGAAACGTTTCCATGCAACTTTCCACCTACCAAGCGCGCCAGAAGTCCGAGAGAAAGTACAACAAAATGTGGGAGGTAAGAAACAATCCACAAAAGTGGTATCTTGTTAATAATAAATTTTCCAGATTGCTCCTGGCGTTCGTCTTCCCGTAACGTTCGCCGTGAAGTCTGAGAAGTCCACCGCTCTGCTGAAATTCAAAAATGCAGATGCTGAAGGAAACGAAATGGTTCGTATGGAACAAATGCATGTTGAAACTCAGAATCCGGTCACTGATTCGGTTGACGATGAGACTCCAAAGTTTGTGGCGAAAGGAGCCGCCAAAAATCTCAAACCTGTTGAAAAGATTAAGACGAAGCATGGTGAATAGTTGTTTCTAAAATAAAATAATCGAGTTTTTAAGGTTACAACTTTGGAAAGTCCGTGATAATGATGGATCAAGATTATCTGAAGGAGAAGTACAACGACCACAATTTCAACGAAGGACAAACAGGAGGGGTGCTGAAGCTCATACAGTTTACTAAAAGAGCAAATGTAAGGTTCAACATTTCCTTTTCAAAATTGATTCGATTAATAAATTCCAGATTCTCGATTCATATCTCATGGAAGCCAGTGCTAAAACAGTTCTTCCCTCACTCAATTCACCAAAATCTGGTGCTACAAAAGCAGCGGTTGCTCTAATTCGAGCAATGTTCGACATGAGAGTTGCTGGCATCTGTCGTTACACATTTCATGCGACATCTCAAGTTCAACTAGTGGCTCTTCTGCCACATAGGGATGCTGAAACTGGTGTTTATTACTTGAGATCTGTGAAACTCCCATTTTCTGACGATATGAGAACGTTGAAGTTCCCAAAATTCACATTCGACGAAGATGAGGAAGATACGAATAAGCCAACAGGTAGGAATCTTGGAAAAATTAAAAATCAATTATAATGAAAAATTCAGTTGCTCAACTGTCGGCAGTCGATGATTTGATTGATAAGATGCAGTTGCCAGAAAGTGAAATGTGGGTTGTGAAGAAAGTGATTTATAATGAGCCAAACATTTCCAGCTCGTCTCTTATTGAAGGTGGCATGAGTGACCCAAAACTGCAAATGCAGTGTCACTTCATTAAAAGCTTGGTGCTTCATCCAGATGGTAACTAATAAAAATAGAACATTCCAAAAGCTATATTTTTCAGATTCAATGGAAAATCATTCAATTCGAAAAAACGAAATTCTAAACGATATAATGGCACCAAAGCGAAAAGTAGAGGCGGAATGCCCAGAGATGTTCCAAAGACTCAGCCGCGAATTCAATCTTCAACCAGTTCAGAAAACGAAAAGAGAAAGGGTTACTGTAGAGCCAGAAGATTTACAAGCTATGATATCTGAATGGACTGATAAGAAAGTAAAAACAGAAGTGGTTGAAGAATCTGAGGAGGGACCAAGTCAAAAGAAAAAGAAGAAGTTTAATACATCTGGAGCCAAGAAGATATCAAGAAAAGAAGAACTTCAATCGGAAATTGAAGAAGATGGTGGAGCAAGTCGTATATGCTCGAAGATGCTCGAGATGATATCGAACACTTGTAAATTCCATCCAAACGGAGCAATCAGTGGATTCTTCCAGGTGCCATTTGTCAATAAGTTTCCGGATTATCATTTTTCTTTTTATAGTTGCTTGTGAACGAACTCAGCATTATTCGTTCTGTGTTTGTTGAGAAATCAAAATGCGACGAATTCAATGAGCTTCTCGAAAAGTTGAGAGAAGAAGAAGATTTTGAGCCATTCGCCGAGGTACTTGCAGAAGGTAAACATTTCAATTCTTGATTTCATCGAGCTAATTTTTTACTTTCAGAGAAATCATGCAATCCAATCAGTTCTAGCGAAGTCTCCACTTCAGAAATATCGAGCTTTGATGCCGCCGAGTTCTGGGAAGAATAATAACATGCACATATTTTTTCCATTCCTCGATTTTATTGTATTGTCCATTCGCCAACACCCCGACTGCAACAGACAGATCTACATCTAATTTTTTTCAACTCTTCGGGAAATAAGTTTTCGGCTGGAAGGTGTAGAACCGTCTGTGGGGCGGTCGGGAGTAACGACGAATGAACAATAGTCCCAATATTTCTTAAGTTTCACTAATTTCATGTATCTCTCATATTCTCATACATTCCCTGTGACATGAATTTACAATTCTTTTTTTCTTTCTCTAACATTTTATAAAGTTATGAACACTTTTGTGAAGCAAGACGTATAAATGTTCAGTAAGACAGACATGACCATTGGGGGTCAGAAAGGTAATTCTGAAGTATTTAATTTCTAAGCTTTTCAAAAAGTTTTGCTATCTTTTGTGCGAAACAAAACTGAAAGCTTTAGCGGAGTTTTGCAAAGTTCGTTGATTCCTCTAAAGTTTTGTTGAAATTGAGTCGAATATCTACAAGAAAATCTTCATTTAATTTAATACGAAGTTTTCAGTTCGGAGATTTTCCGGAAACCGGTTCATCTTGAGTTTTCTCCTTCAACTGAGCTTCCTCCCGTTTTTTAGGATCAATTTGTTTTTCTATTTCGTTGACGAGCGCTTCTTTTTCATCGCTATCAATATCAGAAAGCGGTTCGATGTCCGAGTTATTCTTCTCATAAATTCTTTCTGAAAAAAAAAACTGTCTTTGAAATTTTGTTTTAAAAATTCTTACCTTTGTAGCATAGTGCACGTAGATCTTCATATTTGTTATGGGTTTCCACCTCTTCTGAATTCAAATCTTCAAAGAAATCAACATCCGACTGTCCATCTGATTTCTGGCTCCATTTGTAGACCTTTTTCACATCACCATCGTCATCAGAAGTCCAAGATGAAGACGTCCAAGAGGAAAATGAAGTGGCAGATGATTCAGATGAAATTGAAAAATCAGTTTCATTGATATCTTTTTGCATTTCATACAAAAACTCTCGAGTAACAAGTGGCCGTTTTTTCTCCTTTATATTTACAGCGACAGGTGGAGGGGTTTTCTAAAAATATTATATCAAAAGCGTTAAATACAACAACCAAACTCACAGCGTTTTCTTTCTTTTTCTTTTTTTCCGGTTTTGAAATTGGCTCATCGGAGTTCTGAATCTTGCATCTTGGCATGTTCGAAGGCATGGACATCTGCTCGGTAGAAGTTGGCTCCATCATCATCCATTGACCAGCGACTCCTCTTTTCGGTGGAGATCTCTTTTGAGGTCCACTATTTTTCTTTTCCGGCTTGCTTCTCTTCTCATTTGTAGAACTTGCTTCTGACCATTGCTCAGTGTTCGAAACTTCAGACATTGTCATTGACATTTGTTGAGTTTTATCTTCCTTCAGTGATGTCTTTTTCTTCTCCATCTTTGATCTTTTCGCCGTCTCTTCTTTTCCATTCTTCGATTTTTCATCCGCATCTGAATCTTCTTCTGAAACTGATTCATCCGCAGGATTCCAATGACTTTCAATCAGCTCAATTTCATTCTCTTCGTCAGATTCCAAATTTCCATTCTTTTTTATTCCCTCCAATTCTTTCAAACTCCAAAGTCTTGGTTGGCATTTATCCGGGTACTGCATTACGTCTACAGAGAAAAACAGGTCTGAAAATTGAAAATTTATAAATAAATTCGCTCATTAGAACGTACTCATGTTTTCCAAGAATGTCTCATATGACATTTTGTTATTAGCAATGAGAGTAGCAGCCATGGGAACAGCTTCAGAACATCCATCATAGACAAAATCACTTGGATCATTGAATAAATGTTCTTTCATTTCCAACATATTTTCGGGATCTTGGAACCACGGAAGACGAGTTGAAGTGAATAAGTAAACCATCTAAAAATTCTCAATTTGGGGTCAGCCTAATAAACTTTCTGTTCACCGTATAAATCCATGCTTCGAAATCAACAAACTGATCGAATTCCGCGTCTTTTCTGTGGAAAACTCTTGGAGTGAATGAATCTGGTTTGACGTCATCAGGTGTTTTCATTGGAGGTCTGTAAATATCTGAATATACAAAAGCCTAAAAAGAAACTAACTTTTTCTTGATACATCTCGAGTAATCGGTAATTTTAACATTGAAAGGATGCTGGAGAACACTGAAGGAAGATGGACGGATATCACATTGAATCACATCAAAAGAATGAAGTTCCTTAATTGCATTGAAGGAAAAATGTGTGATTAGAAATACGGTAGCAGAGTTCAATTCTGGTCCAAATTCCTCACAAAGAGTCAATAAATCCATTCCCAAATCTTCATAAATCAAATATTTGAAGTCACTATCAAATCCTGCATCCACTAGTCTTGCAATATGGGAAGGCTTTGAAAGTTCTGGAGCCAACTCATAAAGAAGTCTTCTTTCCTTCTGAATTCAAATTAATATTTTATGAATATCGAAATAAAATAACCTACATCTAAATTTTTCTGCAACTGTAAATGTTCCGGATTCTTTCTATTCACTAATTTTGCCGAATGCATGCATCCAGAACCAAGTTGTTGAACCAGCCAAAGTTGTTTTGATATCTAAATTTTAAAAGATTTTTTAGAAAAAGTCTTCCTGAAAAATAAACATCTGTGATTGCTTTTTGTCCTTGTTCTTCCATCATTTCGTATCTTTTCTTGGTTTCCAATATTTCTGGCAAGGTGACTTGGAAGTGTAGAAGCTTCTAAAAGATTCAATTCAAAAGTTCGAATTCGAAAAAACCAACTAACTTCATTCATGAACTGAGTATTCTCACCAAGGACAGCTGCATTTGAGAATGTGGATTCAACAGCAAGCATAGCTTGATCCAATTGATCCAAACCTCTTTCAATTTCAGAATCCGTATCGGATGATTCATACAAATCGTCTGATTGCCAGTTGAATTTTTCCAAGTCATTCTCATTGACATCCATATCAGGATCAGAGGAAGAAATGATCAGAGAATCAGTTAAGATTATTTCTGAAGATGCTGAAGTCGTAGAGGAATCTGATGATAAAGGTGTTGATGGTTGAACAGATGTTGGCTCCATAGCAGTAGCCTCGCAGGAATTGGTGCTGGTTTTTGTTTGCGATTTTGTGTCGTCAAACATGCTATCCAGGTCATCATCAGAATCTTCTTCAGAATCATCATCGGGTATTTTAGCCCCTCTTCTATCTTCTGCTTTCTCCATTTTTTGCAATACATCTTCCCAGTATTCAATTTCATCATCAATATCCATTTCATCATCTGAAGAAGACGTTGTCTCATCAGAAGACACATATTTATCCTTCACAATTGACGTCGTTTGTTCTTCAGTAACTTGAACGTCATCTTCAGAAGACGTCGAAGTAGAGGAAGAAGACGTCGAGATTGTCTGGTCTGTATTGGAGTTGCGTTCTGAATCCGTACAACAACAAGTGCGCATGATTCTGGAAAAAAAGTGGGTTTTGCTAAATCAATTTGTTAAATAGGTTACTTGAACTTTTTCATTCTCATATCATCGTTTGGAAATATCCCATCAATTACATCTGTATCAGAAGTATCTCCAACAGAATCCCAATTTTCAGAATCAGAAGAAGAGCAACCCGAAGAGACAGGAACCTTTAGAGGTTTTCGTTTGGATTCTAATCTTCTGATCTCTTCAATCAATGCCTTTTCTTTCTCGTCAACAACATCAGCTCGAGCTGCTTCTCCACTCAATTCTTCTTCTTCTGAGATAACGTATTCTCTAGATTTAGGATCGACACTCTTGTCTTGAACTTGTTTCGACTAAAACTATTTTTACATTATTATCTGAGAATCTGGACAAACCACTTGATGATGGTCAAAACTAGGATAATCACAAATTCGTTCCACATATTCAAAAGGAAAATCCATGATGCCTATCACAATGAGTTGCCTTCCAGGGCTCAGCTGACACTTTGTCATAACCGCTGTGTTGTTTGGAACGTCTCACATCTAGATCGAGTTCACGGAAAATCGAAGTTACAATTTCTTTAGAGATGTCTATGTAACCTAGAAACGCTATGGAACTTCCACCGTATTTCCTCTAATAGAAGCCCACCCAAACCGTCAACTTTAAGCTCAATTATCTCGATTTATGTGAAAGATATAAGATAAGTCTCAATTAATAAACTGTTTATCATAATATCAAAAATATTTTGTCAGTTGAGCACTTTTTGATATCTTTTACAGGAACCGAAATAAATTGGCTCGAAGTTAAAAGTTATGGGTGGCGATCTCTACGGTGTATTTTCATGCTTTATGAGGTTTACTGTCTGTTCCTATGTGGTTGAATCGCTGGCCTAATTTCAGTGCTTTTCAGAAAAATTATGTAAATCAGGAAATATTGTGATGAGTTTCCGTGTTCAAAATTTTTTTTGCTCGAAAATTAACGGAAAAAAACAGAATCAGCATAAATTCTGCCCTCTAGATCCCAACCCTCTACCAGTACTGTCGTTTTAAACTCTTTGTAGTTATGTAATGGTATCAACCAGGAGCTGAAACTTGAAGTCATCAAGTGGACGGGTTAGAGATGTCTCAAAGATGATCCAGACATCAGAAGAGCAATCATGGTCCCAGCTCCGGCACCTATCGACAATCACAAAGTACGTAGTCTCAATTTCTTTCAAAAGTGCATCGTATCCAACTGGGGGAAGGTGTTAAAGCTTAACATGATCTACCAAAATAACCTTAGCAGGAATGTTTTTCATTCTAAAAAAGTATTTGAAAAAATATCACCGTTTATACCACTAACATTTTATTAGTTGATAAATTTCGAGTATCTTTTATAGGAACCGAGATAATTGCCCAATAAATAAAACAACAGATGGTGCGCCTTCGGCGCTGTTCAACCTAGTTTTTACTCGTTCGTCCTTATTTTTTCACTTTTTTTAATGGGAAATCTACTTTCAATTTTCGAGTTCTCTTTTTAACTTTTCACATGTTACGCAATAAACCTTTAAATCAATCAATATTAGGTTACGCCCCCTGCCTCTGTCCACGTTGAAAAAATTCCACGTATTGAAAAAAAACAGTCCTTTGGGAAACCTCAATTTTTGAATTAGTTTGATAATTTTCACTAGCACTTTTTGACTGCTCTGAAGCTCCCTGCGTAAGCTGTTTATTGTTTCATTTGCTTTTTTCCTTCGATTGGTCGGATGCGAAAAAAGTTATAAAAGGCCCTAAGGGTCGCCATGTTTGGTGGTTCATGGCTAGGTGAATTTATTTTCACTGAACGTCCCCCATTTGCAAAAGACCCAATCGAAGAAAAAAGAAACAAATGAACAAAAACAATAAATAGCGATCGTATAGCTTTTTAGCAGTGAAAAAGAACTACTGAAAATTAGAAAACTGTCTCCTCGGAGACAGGGGTTTTGTGTTGGTGTTTTCCCCACCGGTGAAAACCCATTTTCCCTTTCATGTACTGAGCCTCTACGTGGCGAAAGGGATCAACAGACGAAAGTCTGGCTAATCAGTACACTTTTGAAACTTGTCATTTTTCATAATTTTTGTTTATATGTTCAGGAATATCTATATTTTAAATTTTTTAAAATAAATCCCTTTTTTACATCTTCCATTTCATTTTTCTCTTTTCCAAGCCCGTTTCCAAGAAGGAAGAATCAAAATTGGAGACCTCCGTCTTCGCTGGAGGTCGTGATCAACTGATCTTTGGAGCGGACGTATAAACTTGCAACGGTTGCAAAAGGCATATTTTCAGACTTTTCCAGATAACTCGGGTAGTTTTTAAGGTCTCATCACAAACATTGTCCACTAGATGTAATTTGTTGTCTCGAATCCGATTTTCAAAAAATTAGGCCAGTACCTTTAACAGCTCTCAAGTTATGACCCTAAACATGGGTGGACGTAAGAACCTGCAATGCACTGTGGACACTCTCTGCCCCCTGTATAAGTGGGGGACTTGTCCTGCCTTTTCATCTCAATTTTCCCAATATTTACCCTAAAACCAAACAAGGAAAACTCAAGAATTTTAAACAAACCATCATTCTATCCCCCATCGTTTGCCTATTTGTTTGAACTTTTCCCCATCATAAGTTTTCTTTTTCTCTTATTTACAAACACATTCTTCTTTCGCAGCAATTTTTTTATTATAAAGTTTTCAATGAGTTTATTTGGAATCCAAATTTTGGATAGAAAAAGTGAGAAGACAACTCTAGTATTGTTTAGTTAACATTCGAGACATCGAGCAGTTTGTTTTAACCTTTTCAACTTTTTTGAAAGCTCAAAAATATGATTTTGTAGTATTGCTCTTCGATGAATTTGATCATCGGTTACCGAAAAATGGATAAAAATACCGGTCAGTTTATTTTCAGTTTTTTTACCCTTTTCAGGAGTCTGAAGCCCGGCTTTCATGTTTCCGATTACTTTGAAAATTTAGGAAAGTTTCAAACAGACCTAGATTGAAGAATTTGCTTTCACAGAACTTTTTGGAAATTCCTAGTTTTTCAGCTATGAGCCGATTTCTGAAGACCCTTGTTTTTTTCACGTGTACAGTACTAATACTGGTCAAGAATGGTTGTCTTTCCGGAATCAAAAATTAAAAAAAATTCAAAAAATTTGCGAATACAAAGTCTTCAATCTAGATCTGTTTTACACCTTCCAGAATTTTCAAAATAGTCGGAAACTTGAAAGCCGAGCTCCAGTCACCAGAAAATGGTTGAAATGGCCAAAAGTACATTGAAAAATACGGTTTTGTATAGGATCACAAATGATTTAGTACTATTTGCAGAATGTACAAGGTGCGCCAAAATTATAGCAACCAAAGTTTAGTGCGAGCTGGTGGGTGCTGTATAATTTTTAGAGCAATCATTCTGTACGTATTATTTTCAGCATGTCTTGATTGCTTTATTTCCAAACATTTCAACTCGTTAGGTTGACTTTTACACGAATGGTGACCAGTTCTATACACCTAGACACTCTCGTCGGTGGCCATAAAAGGGGTGGGCCCAAACAGCATCGGAAAAGCTCTCGGAATCAAGGCCGTCAGAGAACGAGTTTGTCGAATTTCGAACAAAATTATGGAAAAATGAGCTTCAAATGAGCAGTAAGTGAGTCAGTACAATTGCCAAAAGTAAGCTCGGACTAACCCCAATTCATGTTCAAAAGACAAGAACTCGGTCGGCGAATAACAATCTGGTACGCATCCAGAAGTGCAAATCGGCATTTGCTGGCACGCACCAAAATGAACACAAGAGGATGATGCTTGTCAAGTCTATTCGATTATTTTCAGAGAAGTTACAGCACTTTGAATGTGTTGCAATAATTTTGGCACACCCTGTAAATTAATCGGGCAAAACATTATTCTTCGTTCTTATACCTTTGCAATCCAAAATAATTTTCTGACTAAAATTGACTGTTGATTACTATTTTTATTGCTGAACCAACAGTTTTGAAGTGTCTTCCTTGCTTTAAAAATTGTTGATCCAGTTCCTCACCTTTACCGAAGTTAGCCACCCATGCGACGCAAAATCCTCTTAATAAGTATACATCCACATTTCCAATAGCATCCTGACCAACCAACATCATCGTTCTACTCAACAACAATTTCCAATTGAATTCGTTCTCTCCTCCTCCCCGAATCCTCACTTTCTCTTTCAAAATCTCCTGCCAACTTCACTCAATTCAGCCGTTCGATCAACACGAAAATGATGATCTGGTCACCACCGAAGTTTTTCGTTTGGTATTTCACAAGTTTTTCGTATCGAAATTCGATTAGAAACACCTTTCACAACATAGAAAATGTTCTCCCTATTCAGTTTTTTTCTTTCCTAATTGATATGTATCAAAAATATTCAATTTCACAATGTAAATGTTTTCTGACTCATCTCTCTTCTCTTTTTTTATTTTTCTTTTTGAGATTCCAAAACCACTCCCACCCATCTTTTTTGTCCACAAATAAAACAGTTCAGAAAGACAGAGAAATGAGTCATTTTTTCTGGTGTCTCTCAAACTATCAAGTATGGTTGACAGTTTAAAAAAACATGTCTGCCTTATTTGGGACATCATAGATGAATAGTTTTGGAAAGTAAAAACCGTTTTGAAACCTTTACTTTTTTCAGTATTTCGTTTGCCTAGTTGTTGAAATAATTATCTTCCAAAGTATCGATATTATTGGAAATGTGATCCTCTAAAAAGTTCCAAACCCATTCACACAAAGTAACGTAAAAACTGTAATAGAAGGGGCCTAACTTCAACTTTAACTTCGATCCAATTTATCTTGGTTCCTGTCAAAGATATTTAAAATTTTTAACTGATAAATTGTTAAGCATTTTATTAGAGTTATTTTATCAGTTGGCAAATTTTTGATACCTTGCATAAGAATTGAGATAATTGCGCTCAAAGGGCCCTTCTATTACAGGTTTTACGGTATTTCCAAGAATTGTCCATTAAATTTTTTGTTCTTATGAAATTTATGTATCAATTTTCACATTTTCTTTTGCTGTACTTCTTCGGAAAGATTTCCTAATTCAAACAAATTGAATTTTCAGTGATTTACACCCAAAAGCAACAAACATGGCAACTGCTAAAATTCATTTCAAGCCATATTTTGATGAAGTGAGTTTAAGTTTGTAAACTATTCAAAAGTCCGAACCTTCAGGTGATGGCTGCTGAGCATCTCGAGAAGGCTTTGAGAAACAAAGAGAAGCTGAAAATTCTGGAGATTTTGATTTCTGTGAACAACACTCAACGTCAAATGGTACATTACTGAAACAGAAAAAATCTAAATTGGCTATTTTTACAGATTCGAACACCCTACAAAACTCGTTACGGAAAAGATCTCGAAGAAGAAATCAAAAAGGCATTCTCAGGAGATTTCGAAGATTTTCTAGCTGCTCTTCTCCGAACTCCAACTAAACTCGATGTGACGGAATTGAATAGAGCGGTCAAAGGACTTGGAACTAATGAGAAGAACCTTATTGAAATTCTTACAACTAGAACCAATGAAGAAATCGAAGCAACCAAGTAAGTAAAAATCATCATCTTCAAATAAATCGATTGTTGTAATTCCAGGAACACCTACTTCATGACTTATGGAAAGTCTTTGGAAGATGCCATTTCTGCCGATACTTCTGGAGACTTCCGACGTCTTCTAATCATCATTCTGCAAGCGAAACGAGAAGAATCTGGATTTGCGGATACATTCAAAGTGGGAAACCATGCTGCTCAAATTCTGAAAAGCTTTGATAAAAAGTCTGGAGTTGAGAAGTTTGAAGCCTTCAAAATCTTTGCCATCGCCAACGGAGCACATGCTCAAAAAGTGATTGAAGAAGTGGAAAGACAGTCTGGAAAAGAATTCCAAAAGCTTGCTGAGAAGGAATTGAGTGGAGATTTCAAGAATCTGATTCTTTCTTTGATTGAGACTTCTCGAAATAAACCAAGATTCTTGGCGAATTCCATTCATTTGGCAACCAAGGTGAAGAAGCTCTGTTTAAAACTAATAACAATTTTTCGCATTTTCAGGGAATGGGAACCCGTGACAAGGATCTGATTCGTATTTTGGTGTCGAGATCAGAAAATGATTTGGTGCTCATTGAACACGAATTCCAGGTTCTATTCGGAAAACCACTGACCCAGGTTAGTTGTCAATGTATCGGTGACCCCTTTTGAAACAAAATATTTTCACATCACTCTCCATCTTCTCCCAAATAACATTTAAAATTGCAGCTAATCAAGGAAGAGTGTAAGGCCGAGTACCGTGATGGTTTGACGATGCTTGTCAAGGGAAACACTCGACCGTAATAACATTTTTGAGAAATTCTTCAAATGCTGACAACAAAATACTGCCTGCTTTAAAAAATACTGCTTTACAAGCTCAATGAAAGTTCATCATTTATTCAAATGAATCGATTATGTCTTAATTATAAGAGTCGATCTGACAGAATCACAATCAATTATCATTGTCTGAAAGAAAGGTTTAAGAGCGGATATTTTGTCAAATTTCTCTCAAACTTTCAAATCTTTTAAGCCTATTTAAAAACTTGTTTTCTTAACTTTTTCGACGATTTTTCGCGGTAAATCAAAATAAAATGAATTAAAATCATGAAAATCATTGAAGAAACGATGAAAATTGTCGAAAAAATGAGAAAATAGAAGAAATATTTCAAATAGGCTCAAACGATAATTCAGTTCACTCTTGCACCTTTAAGAAAACTTGAACAAGATATCCGCTCACGACCTTTATTTTTCCAATTTTGAGCATTTTCAAGAATCTGGAGCTTGGCTTTTATGTTTCCAAACACTTAATAAATTTTGGAGATTGTTAAACAGACCTAGAGTGAAAACTTTGCATTCACAGAATTTTTGAAAACACTTTTAATTTTTGATTTCAGAAAGACCCCCCCCCTTCATGACCGGCATCAGTGCTGAAAATTTAAAAAAAAACCTTTCAGAAATCGGCAAATAGCTGAAAAACTAGGAACTTTCCAAAAATTCTGTGGATGCAAAATTTTCACTCTGGATCTGTTTTACAGCCTCCAGAATTTTCAAAATGATCAGAAACTTGACAGCCGAGCTTCAGACTCCTGAAAATGTTTCGAAAACAAGAATTTTGCTCCGAAATGAAAGTTGTTCTTATTTTATTGTTGACTACTTCCTGTACTCGTTGGTGGGAGAGTCCATATTCAACAAAATTAGACGTAAATACATTGAAAATCTGCTTAAAGGCATTTGGATTGTCTGATGTATACCGTAAAATATATATTCAAAATCTAGGAAATTCCATGTTTGGTATCTTTTTAAGGAACCTAGGACAATATGCTCAATGACGGTTCATTGAGTCATTGTGCTACCTGGTATAAAGTTCGTTTGCCTAAAGTTTGCATGCCTGGCATGAAGTTTAATTAATGTTCTATTAAAATGAAGAATTCAGGTTTGATAGAAGATCTGAAACGGTATTTTTTCTCTTATCTCGTTTCCACTGAAACATACCATTCTTTTATCTAGTTCAGCGTTCGGAATTTCTTGTTTTGTACTTGTTTTGCAGTCGCCACCTCAACGTTATAATTACTTTTCGGACCCTTTTCTTCTCGAATGGACATAAGAAGGCGCTGTTTCCCTTTTCGGTTTCTTCTTATTCTTTTTCATTGTTCTTTTATTCATCATCCTGACCCCAAGAAGATCGAAAATTGGCGGGTGTTCGGTATGTATCGGTATTCCCTCTAGTCATCTGGCTCTCTGTTTCCAATAATTCAAACCTTTTCTCTTTTCACTACGAGAGGAGGTCGGTCACCCTGAATTCCCACCGTAATTCAGGCGCCGTTCCGTCGCGCCCGTTTCCTTTTCAAAACCGCCGATCATCATGAAAATGATGAAAAAATGAATGCGTGCCGCCGATGGAATGGCGGTGAGAAGGATGGAAAATAAAACAGTGAAGTGATTTATGGAGATTTTGGAGTGAGAAAACAATAGAAATGTTGAAATATAGGAGAAGAGACTTGGTGGCCACTATTCTTTACAGTACTCCCCCAGAAGGAATACGAACTGCAAATTCAATTTTGATATATCATGAACAAATTTGGTGTGGCAGGTCTGGAACAAAAATTTAGTATTTTTTATCTGATTTTGTTCAAGATGTTCAAGATTCAAGATGAGTTTGAGGATTAAGAAAAATTAATTCATGGTTATAGAATTCTGTATGATGTTTTTCCGGGAGAAAATATTCCGAAGAATGCAAATTTTCAAGGTTCGATTCAGAAAAATGGAACTCCTTTCTCATTTTTTAAAGTTTTTAGGAGTTCTATGGCTCAAAAGAACCGCGATCATTCCTTCCTCATTTTATGTCTATTTGATTCTTTCGATTAAACCTTTTTTCGAATAAAAAATCCTCCCAACTTCGCATTTTTGCTGAAATTATGCTCCAGACATGCCACACCAGAGATTTGCATGGTAGATCGGAAAATTAGATCAAATTTAAATTTGCAGTTCGTTCTGTGGGAGCGTGTGCACTGCACACTGTGCAGTGCGGTTCAATTCCTCGATCTATGTAACATATTGATACTGTAGAAATTTCAATTTGGAATCAGCCCCAGAAGCGGAACCTCGCTTTCCAGTACATTCTGAAAACTTTCAATTTTCAAAGATTCCAAGAACAACTCAATTTAATTTATTTTTTGAATTTTTTATTAAAATTTTAAATTCACTAAAACGCAAAAAAGAGACGAGATTAGACGAATTATGACAAGAAGAATCTACTTAATAAATAGAAAGAAGGTAAGTTTTGTGAGAAAAAAAGAGTTCAAGCAAAAAGTATACGGGCACCCGGTAGACCGTAAGATTAGGGGGAAGAATGGATGAAAGAAGAATTTTGGAATCGAAAAGATTGAGAGAGAGAGAGAGAGGGAGAAACTTGAACAGAAAACAGCATATTATGATTTGAGTTGGGATTGATTCGGGAAATTTTTATAAAGGCGTCCATCTTACAGATTTTGGACAGTTTTCAGTTTCCGAAAAAGTCTTGGTCCCGCAATACCAATTCAAATCACAATACACATCTGAAACTTGGGAGAGGAGGAGCACACAGGTATATGGTTTTTCAAAAAAGATCCAAGGAGATCTGAAACAATCCAAAATGGGTCAAAAGGGAAAATACAAACTAAAAGAGGAAGAAGAGGTTAGTACTGCTGATATGCAGGTTGGAAATAGTAAGAAGGATAAGCCGGCAGTGGCATATCATATGGATTTACTACATGGTGCTTATCTTCATATTTGATATCGTATCCATGAATTGCAACAACTGGAGCCATTGATGGAATCGTGCTGACTGGTGGAAGATGTTGGCTTGAAGGTGTTGGGATGTGAGATGGAATCGTCCAGTCAGGCATCATTGGACCATTTGGAGTTGGGTGATTCACTGGTGGACTTGAGTTATCCTGCAAAATTCCAACTTTCATTTTCTTGAAAAACAGTTGGGAGGAAGAGAGAAGTTTGATTTTCTAAACTTTTGGAAAGTACAAGGTTTGCCATGTTATTAGAATTGAAATAAGCCTCAATTATTTTTTCGAAATGTTAGATGTATAGCACTTTTTAGTTCTTTAATGTCTTGTTGGCTACTGTAATCATTGACAAGGAACTTAAAATTGCAAATTGAAACCACGACACATAAGCGAACGCAAAATTACACAGATAACTACCAAATTCAGCAACTCATCTTCAGTTTTTTTTGGTCAAAATGTTTCCAATTTAAGGTTTTTTTCTCTTGAAAAACCTCCAAATCTCTCCTTACCGTTCCATAATCCTCTTTCATTTCGGATTTAATCGAGGAAGAAGAACCAAGTGGGCGTTCACTGCTCACCTGATTCATCATCGAATCGCTCATCGGTGAGCTTTCAGGCTTCGACTCTTCCGTATCATCGTCCTCATCTGATGCACGGTCCGACGTACCACCCTTTGACTTCTTCTGTTTCGATCTCCGGTTTTGGAACCAGATTTTTACCTGAAGAATAAAACAATTTTGGTTACAGTAATCAGCATTTTGTTTATTTATGTTGTTTTTATCTAAACTAACAAATCCTCCCCCTCGTCTCATCATCCTAGATCATTCCCTCCGACTCAATTGGTTTCCGATCCGTCGATTTTGAAAAACCTTGCCTTCTTTCTCCTCCTATCCCAATGTATACACAGTGGTGTCCGTGGTGACATCCGTGAAAAAAAGACAGAGAAAAAGATAATTAGCCTTCCGCTAGTGAATAGGATTCCTATATAGAGGTCACACTCTCTTTTCATAAACTAACCGGTGTAGAGGCAGAGAGACAGCAAAAAGAGTCATAGGATACTGTAGAAACAAAACTGAATATATTAAAATGGAGAAAGAAGTGGTTCTAGGTTAGATCGATCCAGTAGGTCAAGTGTAGAGATACTGGCCCAATTCCAGTCCGAACCCCATCATACACTGTCAAGTTTGAGCTCAATTATCTCAATGTCTGTGAAAGTTATCACAAATATGTCAACTGATAAAATGTTTATGAAGCTATGATAAAAATTTTGTTAGTTGACCACTTTTTCATATCTTCGACAGAGGCCGAGAAAAATCAGGTCAAAGTTAAAAGCTAGGAGCTCTTCTAATACAGGTTTTAGGGTATCAGAAGCGAAAATCCATGCAGATCTGTAAAGCCAGAAAGTTGCAAAACCCTTGACAATTCCGTGCCATTTTCTGGATACACTTGTCAATCACTCATGACTTCCGTGGACTTCAGATACCATCTCTGCCTCGAAGACACATGTTTCATGGTTACGGTATGATTGATAGACCCTCTCTCAAGGATCCATGCTGTTTCCGTTCCGATAACAATCTGACACCTGCGCGCGTGCCTTCGTCGTCTTCGTTTTCTTCTTTGTTATTTCAGACAAAATATATAAGAAATTAATGTTTTTGTTAGAAAATTCAGCTTCTAGCCTTTTCTCTTCCGCTAGCCATATATGCGAACTTTCCGTAATTACCCAGTTAGAGACTTCTCGAGAACGAGAGACCGAGAGAAAAGCTCCCAAGGGATTCGCGAATTCAGAAAATATCAATTAAAAAGAAGATGCCACGTCACACATGTTGGCACATCTCCTGAAATTTCTTTCTCAATTCTTAAACTCAATAGCGCGTATCTAAAAGTTAGGAGGCGACCTTCTCAAGACATACATTTGAAAAAGAAGAACAGTTAATGAGACTGTTTTTATGAGCGAATTGAAGAGACACGTGTGAAGAATCGGAGGAAGGAGAAGAAGGATTAGGTGTATTACGACTGGATTATTACCTGATGGTGTGCAATGCTTAGACCCCAAACGGTCACACAAGGTCATTGATACGCCGAAAAGTCGGATTTAAAGGGGGAGAGGATGAAGCTATAGAGGGATCAGTAAACAAATTGTATTCTGTTTACCACAATAGATTTCCATAACCTCCCATTTTGCTTACCTGAGTTTGTGATAATCCCAATTCGGCAGCCAGCGCGGCTCTATCCGGAAGTGCCAAGTATTGAGTTTTGTCGAATCTGAAATTTTAATTTATTTGCTTAATTAGCACTTTTTCATCTCATAATCTCACTTTTTCTGAAGCATCTGAAGCTGTGCGGTGTTGTAAATCGTTCGTGGTTTCCTCATTTTCTTTCCCTTCTGATTGTATTTTGCTTCACACCCTTCCACGATTTTCGTCGTTGTCGTCTCTGTGTATTGGGATGATTCTGAAATTTCATTCTATTTTTAAAAATAACCCAAATCTAGAATTCTAGATGAGGGACAACTTTCGTCGCCGTATGACGTCTTTGAAAAGATGCTTCTGGTTTGGCATCTCAAATCATACCCGAATCTGGATCTCCCATTTTGTAGTGACCTGGATATTTTGAAGTCAGAGTCAGAACAGAAATCCAGAATAAGAAAGGAATCGGCTACAATGCGCCAAAGTTAGACAGTAGATTGACGTCTTCTGCTAGTAAGCTAAGTAAACTAGAAATGATGTGACGTGATCTTCTAGAATTGTTTATCACTTCTCCAGATGTTGAAATACCGAGCGAGTTGATCAAAATAAGATCACCTTTTTCAGCTGACGTCAATGCAAATTCAGAGAAACAACAGTAAAAAAGAGTTTCCACCACGGCAGGATTCGAACCTACAATCTTCTGCTCCGTAGGCAGAAGCGTTATCCATTGCGCCACGCGGCCACATTTCCTCTCAATTGGATAGGAACATATGAAACTAAAGACGCGCGCGCTTCTTGTGTTGAGTGTCTAGTTACAATGATAAGAGTTGTCCAGTTCGTTGACACTTACCTTCAGGTGAACTTCCTGGACCAGGCGCGTACATTCCATATCCGCCTTGTGGTGTACCGTACATTGTCCCTGCCACAGAACCTGCTCCTCCAGGGAATGGGAACGGGTAATACGGAGAAAGGTTGGTTGGTTGAGCACCATTCGGAGTCCCTTCTGCTGACTGCGTGTAGAATTCTGATCCATTAAAATCAAACTGTTTTGATGACTCCATCTGAAAACCAAAAATTGCAATTTTTGAAATTTTGAAAGTCCCATAGAAGAGAGAATGGAAAGATTGAGAATAAACAGTTAAATGACGGAAGAAGTTGAGAAACTAGAAACTTCAGAAAACTCTCAGATTCTCACAAAACAGTAAAGGTCGCTATCCAAAAAAGGTCATGGTTCTCACGATTTGGTTTTTGCTTGCAAAAACCTTACGAAGCACCAAAAAGCCATGATTCATGACGACTTGGCCTTGATATTTAAACAGAGGAGCAGTAGAAGGAAAATGTCATTAAACACAATCACTCGCAGGTGGTACACATTACTCATGGAAAGTAAAAGGTAATGTTTGAAACCACAACTGTCGAGTTAAACAAAACCTTTCGACCACGGCAGGATTCGAACCTACAATCTTCTGCTCCGTAGGCAGACGCGTTATCCATTGCGCCACGCGGCCACGTTTGGGATACGAACAGTTTGACCTATATGAACCGGGGAAGAAGAAGCCTGATTAGAAAAGGACAGTTATCACCAACGTATGGAAGACTTTAGAAGTTTTTCTTCTGGTTTTGGCAACTCGTGATTTTTATCATGCTTATCACATTAATCACATTTCAACAACTGTACTTGCTAAAAGTTTGAGCTGTCTGATGATAGGTTTTCGATAGTACATGCTCAAGACTCTCGGATATAGGCTATAATTAAACGACGTATTACTTAACAACATAATTGGAAGTGGTTGTGTCTCACGCCCCCGGATACTTTCCCCATCAATTATCAACGCCAATTTACAATTACAGAATTGAAGAGAAGGAGAGTGATACAATTACCTAAAATTTGAGCGGACAAAAAATGGAAGAAAATAGCGAACGACGAAAAAAAGAAGAAAGGTACGAATTAGGATAATAAGGGAGGAGGTAGAAGATTCAGAAGAAGAAGTAGAACACGACGAAAGGAGATTCAGATGAAATTCAGAAGGAGAAGTGGCTGATGATGATGATGGGATGCAGTTGGCCAGTTGAGGCACATAGCACAACACAGCCATCGAAAGGAAGAAAAGAAGACGTACGGAGAGAGGACGGGATGGATGGAGAGACACCCCAAAACGGGTGGGCGGTACGTCCGAGAGGGGCGGGGCTTGCGATTCTTATTGGACACAGTACCCCATTGTTGAAGGGAGGAGCATCAAGTGCTAAGGAACACCTGGAAATCTGTTATCACTGAAAAATCATCTCATACTTTCAGGTAACCTCCGAAAACGACCCCCTATCAAATTTTTGAGATGAGGGAAACAATTATTTGTTGGACGCGGGGGGAAAAGTGCCGGGGCAGTTGAGAGAGGGGAGAAAAATGGTTGAGGTATAATTTAGCCCAATTATCTTTCAGAGTGTGCCTGAGGGGACCCCGCCCTATATTGTAGCTAATTGCTGGGTGTAGGTATAGAGAGAAGGATAAAGAGAGAGAGAGAGAGAGAAGTAGTGAATTGTGGCTGTAATTGCGTGTAGCCAAAAGGGCCTCAATCTTCTCTCCCCGGTCCCACAACACACAGCCATCATTCCTTCAGTCTGAACGTTTCGTTCTACCCCATTTTTTCCCTTCTCGAGATTTTCCAACCTTAAAATATTCCATTTCTAGAAGCATCAGCCCTTATCAGCCAGCATCCAAGCTCAGTTTTCTGAGATCCCTGTTCTACAGTATACTCCTAGCATTACTAACTTTTTTATGAGCATAACTTTCGTATAGTTTTTATGAAGGTAATCCAAGTCTAACCACATTTTTTATGACATCTTTTCTCAAACGACTCCATTGTCAAAAACAATTTTTTTGCTCTTTTTTTTTAAATGATTCTCATATTTTGGGTCCGAAAGGATGGATTGATAGCCATAGCCTAACCGCAAGCAATCCGAGCCCAATTAAAGACCGTCACCTAATTAGAACTCTGCGTTTTTTCACAGCTTCGGATTCTTTGATGCCGTCTAGTACCATCTGCTTCATGAAAATTGGTGCCACCAACTGTTTCGTGCGAATTCGCACTAAAAGTTCAAAACGTCATCTATAGAAGACGTTGGAGCAAATGAAGTTCAGTCACGTCATTCTGAATTTCGAAACTAAATAAAGAAAAGGAGTGGGCTGACAAAAAAGATTATGGTAACGGATATTAGAAGATAGATTAGAAGAGACAAGAGATCCTGAAGCCCCTACAGTGATCACAGATTCTAGACGCACCGTGTACTTTTCGGAACGTTTTTTCAAAAAAACATTTCCCCCGCTTTTCCCGATGGAATGCAAAGTAGAAGCTCAGAAGTTCAATTAATTCAATTATTTCAGTTCAATTAAAGGTTTCGCTTCGAGACCAACGCTAAATTTATTGTATTAGATAGTATTACGGTTATTCGCGTTCGAGCGCATTTACAAGACGTCAAGAATAAACACTGTTTGAACGAAATAGGTTCAAAATACACAAAAATTATAATAAATGAAAGAAAGCCCAAAAATGGTTTCTACCCTCAACGAATAGAGTAAAATGAAAAAGTCAGAGTCCATACAGGTGTGCCCGTTCCGTTACCCTTTTCTGACCCTTCCCTTCTCATCCGTTTCGCGGACAATGTGAAGATCAAAAATGATTTCTCATAAGTATAACTCCGACACTTTTTGAAGAGAAGAAGTGTGAATCCGAAGAAAAGGACGGTCTCTCTTGAATCTGTAATTCACACTCCAGTGATAGCGATGTGATCAGAGGAAAACATCTTTTTGATCTCTGTCGGCATATACGATTCCCAGCTCTCAGACTTTGTCTACCCGTTGGAAGGGGATTGAACATCAACCAGTTCTTTTTTTTCTAGAATCATAATTTTGCTGAAGCACAAGCTGAAGCTGGCGTCGTTTAACCTATAATTTAAGTCGGTGCGAGCAGTATATTTTCTTTTTTCTTCTTCTCTGGAAGGTGCTATTATTTCGGAAAAGAGCTAGAAAGAAAAACTTCGAGGAAGGGGATCATCCATCTCGAGAATTCTTTGAAGCCAGAATTGGTAAAAAGGGGCGGAGCTTGGTAAGTGTAAAACGAAAATAGGTCAATTAAAATAATCACCAGCAGTACGTTGAAACCGTTTTCTTTGCTCTCAGACTCCGCCCACCTCGTTTTTTCTCTGTGCTTCCTTGATTCGATGCGGTATTTCGATGGTAATTACCAACCAAAAATAATTAGAATAATTGCTCCAATCCACCAGCCTTCACACGCCTTCAGAAGAATAGTCATAGTAATTCGTTTTTAGTTGTAGCAGTAAAACCTCCATCTCTTCTTTTTTTTTCGGATTCTCATTCCCAAAGTCTCACTTGTTTCTTTTGCGATGTTTTTCATTTTTATTGTTTTGGCTCTTCTACAAAAAAGGTTCATTCACACTTAGGTGATTATTCGGTATCTGTTTATCGGATTCGGTGAATTTCTTTATGCTGGACCGCCATGTAAAGAGAAGGTATCATGGATATCATCTGTTCTCCTGGGATTCTGAGAGTCCCACTGTAGGCGGAGAGACTTTTCGCTTTGTGATTCTCTAGAATCTTTTCCCTAGATTCTTGACCCTTTTTTTTGAATTTTCAAATTGTAATGGCTGAAACTTAGTCAATGGAACTGAACGAACAGTGTGGTTCCATCAGATACAAACTTACCTTATAAATTTTTTTGTCTCCATATGGCTCGGCATTCAGCACAGCTTGACCCAAACCACGCTTCTTCTCCAACCACCATAACCTACCGTCGATTACCCAATACTACCTGATCTTTATCTTTTTGCCACACACCTGCTACATCTGTCTCATCCTTGTCGTCCGGTAGGTATGCTTATCTAGATCTTCATACCATAGCTAGACGTCTTCTCTAAACGACCGGAAAAGGTATACAACATAGTTAACCCAGGAAAATTCTCTCCGGGAGAGATATCCGTACGGACGTCAATCATTTTGACAATCGAATTCCCTCTTCAAGATCCGTGAAAATAGGAGGAAACGTTGAGTTGAGTTAAAAGATGGATTGTTTCTCAAATTTTGAGACTTTCGAGTCGTTCATAATTGCCTTCTTACGGTACATGTTTCTCATTTCGATCGTGACAAGTAGAAGATGTACAGCATGCCACGTGTCAATCAAAAAAGGGAACATATTTCGGAAGGTAGCAGGTGTACTAATCCAGTCGACACTCTCCCCGTATGTTCATAAACCCCGGAAGGCGATTTTTGTGAGGAGAGAGCAATAGGAACATGTCAAGTGTAGGGAAAAAAATAGGTGTCAGAATCGTTTCGACCTCTTCTTGACTTTTAGAAAAAGGACCATAGGCGGTAAAACCTTCAAAAGAATGGAAACCTCGATGTCAAGTTTGAGCTCAATTATCTCAATTCCGAGGCAATATTTCAAATGTGTCAACTGACAAAACACTCTCAAAATCATGATGAACAGTTTATCAGTTGAAAACTTTTTGATATATTTTACAGAAACTGAGAAAAATTTGCCCAAAGTTGAAAGATTGAGAATTTTCGAGAAAGAGAAGAATAGATTCCCAACTATGGTAAGAGCAACCCTTCGATTCCCAAGTTTCTGAAGTCTCAAAGAGTTGTACTTGAACGCTCTGTTGCCAAACTTAACCCCATTTTAACCCCATGTCATTTCTTTTATATCCCTCGAAAAAAGTCTGTTATGCTCGAATGAATAGACGGAATCAAATAAATGAAAGGATTAGACCATACCTATGCAACATGTTCCTATCCACCTGAGACCCACATGCTCCGTTCTATTGTTACGTGGTCCAACTAATTACAGGACTCCTTGACTACTGTCCAGACATCCCGCAGTGCATTCTTCCCCTTTTGGGTACATTGTCTTGAATTTAGGGGTTCTTTTTTCGAAAAAGCTTTTGGGGGTCATAAAACGAACACGAATCGGCAGGGTTTATGTCAACACCTGCCATCGTATGTGGTGCTATAATGACCTCGATAAAAGTCAGTTTTTGTGGATGATGATGGGATGGGGAGGGGATGTGGGAGAAGGAACAGACACCAGAAGAAGCATAAAAAGCATCATGAAAAAGGGTTATTAATGAGTTTTTGTTAATGATGATGAGACAGAAAAACAATATATTTTAACAATGAAACGCGGAGGGAAAATGAGGTGATTCAACTGGGACTTTTTCAAATGTTTCGGGTCCTTCGTTTTGTGAATTTGGATCTTTTTTGTTTTGATAAGGAAAAGTCTCACAATTTTGTACTTTTTTTTCAAAATTGAGTAATTTAAATGAGTAACATAGAACTTCGAGTCTTTAAGATGGTCCGCTAGATTTCTGGCCTCACAATAATACCGTTAACACTCTGATAGCGGGCCACTCTATACTTAACTTAGAACCCATATACCTCAGTTCCTATAAAAGATATCAAAAAGTGATCAACTGACAAAATGTTTATTATAAAATGAAAATTTTTTTGTCAGTTGACTACTTGTTGATATCTTTCAAAGGAACCGAAATAAATTGGATCAAAATTAAAAGTTAGGGGTGGCGTCCTATCAGAGTGTTTACGGTAAAAAACATCCTTTGAAATGGTCCTGAAGATTTCTGGATTCACTAAAATATGTACTTCTCGGAATAAAAATTTAAAGACTTTTTGATTTATGTACAAAAATATTAATTGACTTTCCACCGAATCTTGTACTTTGCTGCTCAATGATCCCCTAGTGAATCGGAATTTACTAAACCAAATCAAAAAAAACTTTTAAATATACCATTTCTAGTATTGGGATTTTTCCAATCACTTGTACTTTCAATTATCCCATCCACATGCTCACACTTATTTATCTCACTGCATTCCTTCCTGATCTAGATCTCAACTCCTTCATTCAATCCTTCGTGTGAATCTGTCACTTTTCCTCTCCATCTGGTACCGTATCATGCATATCCATCACTTCCTGTTCTATCCTTTAAGTTCATCTGAGGTTATCTAAAACTCTTGATCATCTTCCCCCTCATCCATATGTTCCCATTTTGATCCCTAAATTGCTCTTGGTGACGTGGCAACATTCGCTCTCTTGACCTCCCCAACTTCTCTAAAATGGGTTACCTACCGTAATCCTCTGCTTCGTTTCGTTTGTTTTTTTTCGTTTCCATCGACTTCCGGATAGAGGTCGTCCCGACCTTCTTCTTCTTCTTTTTCCCTCTCTCAAAACTACCGTAATCCTTTTCGAAAACCACAAAAAAGCGCAGTGAGGCAAATTGAAGAGAGTATGTGATCTGTAGGGTTTCAGAGAAAATAGAGAGGAGCAATTATGTGCCCGAGGCGCCACGTCTTCTTCTCCTTCTCCTCTTCTTCTTTTCCACTCTCTCTGGATACACGAAACCCGACAATTATTCCTTCACAGGGAAAACGAAAGATTTTTTTCTTTCTCAAAGTCTCTGTGCCTTTCTCTCTTTTTTGGTTTCCTTTCCATCTATATAGTCAAAACTTGTCTTCTTTTTTATTTTTTTATTTTGGAGAAAAAGAAACCAAAAGAGGAGGAAAAAGAAGTCAGAAGTCTGTGTCTTTCGGAGGGGGATACTGTAGATGAAAAGGAAGAAAAAAGAGAGAGGTGGTTGGTTGTAAATACGGAGGACCGAGATGCTTGTTTTTCTTGTTTGCATCTTCTATTTTTTCAGTCTGTTTTGGAATATTGAGGGACTGGAGAAACAGGAAGCTATCAGTATCTGAATTACTGTGCAAGATTGGAATTGAAAAATAGAGATCAATGGGCAGAGAAATCATAATTTGAAACACTTGTGCACAATTACCCGGACTGATAAAAACTGGTATTTCTTTAGACACAAGTATCTTGGAAGCACGAAAATTGATAGAAATATGATTTAAAGTTTGATTCAAAGCGATTCCTCAAGCCTAGGTGTTGATATGAATGTTCAAAGATGAGAAATATTACTTGCACGCCGTTGTGATTTTCATGAGATGAAGCAACTTTGACAACTCAGCTCAAAATTGGTCAAATAATTTGGAACTTGACCAGGTTACTGATAAAATATTCAAATATGTACACTC